CTTTGTTTTAAGCTTGATTTGGATTATCATTACAATGGTTTGATTAGTCTCAAGAAAGTGTCATCAAGAAGCTGCACCCTGGGGACTTCCCTGGTGGTGCAGTGGTTAAGACTCCATGCCCACAATGCAGGGGGCCCAGGTTCAATCCCTGTTCAGGGAACTAGATCCCACATGCATGCCACAACTAAGAGTTTGCATGCCACAACTAAGGAGCCCACCTGCCACAACTAAGGAGCCCACCTGCCGCAACTGAGACCCAGCAGAACCAAATAAATATTAAAAAAAAAGCTGTACCCTGATTGGCTATACACGATGTAACCCAAGGCTGCTCGAGCATGAGAACTGTGTAACCTTTCATCAGATGCTGAAATGAGGTTTTTACTATTAGATAAAGTCCTAGGAAGGCAGAACCTGGGTTCTGGCTAACTGACACCTGGCATGATGTGGGGTGCAGAAAGCTTAAAACCGGGGAGGGCGCAGAGGTTAGGCATACCTGCTGGTAAATGCATCAGACCTGGTAATGCAGTAGCTGGCTTCATTGGTGGCACATAAATGAGGGACTGGCTAGTTCTGGTGGCAATAATGGTGCAGCTGGTACACCTGTACTGAGGACATTACTTGACAGCTGGTAGAATTGAGCCAATAAAAAATCCTGGGGGCTTCCTGGTGGCGCAGTGGTTGAGAGTCCGCCTGATGATGCAGGGGACACGGGTTTGTGCCCTGGTCTGGGAAGATCCCACATGCCGCGGAGCGGCTTGGCCCGTGAGCCATGGCCTCTGAACCTGCGTGTCCGGAGCCTGTGCTCCACAACGGGAGAGGCCACAACAGTGAGAGGCCCGCGTACCGCAAAAAAAAAAAAAAAAAAAAAAATTCCTGACATATCCTGTTCAATTTCTGTAATTCCCAGTGGTGACAAAGACTGGGGAATAACTGAGGAGAGATGAACCTCCGTAAAGCTATCTTTAAGAGGAATAATAGGTGTACTAGTCATTTGTCTGTGTCTGAACCCAAAGCCCACCTTCAGGAACTGCCAGTCATGGCATCAAGCAGCGCACATTATCAGGAGCAGCCAGTCACATGAGTTTTTCACTTTTCAAGCACTTGGATTGGAGTACAAACCCAGAAGGAGGACATGTCACCTACAGCAGACAATGCTTGATCCAGACACATGACATGATTGTTTTGCATGGGTGTGGAGCTAAATATAGGGGTGAAAAGGAACAATCTCACCCTCTTCCTGCAAGGCCTGTGGTTGAATGTCCTCCACAGGTGTCGGGGTGTTGTTCTCCCGCAAAGGTCAGGAAATCAGGGTGTCTCACATTAGTAGATGAAATCTCACTTCCTCTCTACTCATCCCATGCTTGACCCTGACCCTGAAAGGATCAGGTGTGAGAGAGGACAAAGCCATCTTTACAAGATTTACAGAGATGTACTATATCCTCCACTTTGGCCATTGGGACTTGATGTAGATGGACTTGGTGAGCCTCATACATAGTCAAGCAGTTCCTGTCTTCACAATATAAGACCAGGTCCATCCAACAGGAAAAAGCAGGGGCCCTAAGTGTGAATCCTGTAGGCCCACTTTTGGCCAGGTTGTGACCTGGAAAATGTAGCAACTAGACTGGCCTGGCCTGATGATGAGGGAAAGACATATCACTGCCCAGGAAAGGTCATGGCCAAATGAAAAATGTTCAAAATAGATCTTTGGGACCACCTGGAACACTATCCTTTCTCAGAAACCCTAAGATTTCAGACTCAGGGTAGCATTTCCCATATTTACTACACTCCATTTCTCTTGCCTGTGAATCACCCCATGTTTATTAAGCATGAGCAACAATCTAGTGGAAAAAAATGATGACTCTACAATATTTCTCACATTTCTAATGTTCTTCTTCACAGTGAGATCACAAGTGAACATCAAAGTACTCAAGAGATGTACAGTTTTCCAGAAATCTTATATCAGTAGAGTTCCTCTGCATTGAAACATCTCTCATATTTAGGGAATATATATTTCCCTGAGCAAACAATAAAGTGCTTTCCATGTTTCTTAATAGTATGGCTTCACTGTGAGCCCTAACAGGCTGGGTTGTGAGATGGATGGCTTTCCCACATTTCTTATGCTTGAAGACCATCACTCCAGTGTGCTCTTTTCACGTCAAGTGTATCAGGGCAACTGAGGGCTTTCCCACATACCTGACATCAGTTAGACAAAGTGATTTCTTACAAGACAAATGAACAAAGAGAACTGAAGGCTTTCTCACATATTCTTCATTTATAGGATTTTGCTAGAGGGTGAGTTTTTCCTGAGGAGTTGGAATAACTGAAGGATTTCTCACATTGTTTACATCCTCAGGTTTCTTTCTCTCCACCATGAGTTTGGACATGTTTAGAAAGGTCTGATTTCCAAGTGAAGGCTCTCCCACATTTCTCACATTTGTAAGGTTTTATTCCAGAGTGAATTGTCTTGTGACAATGAAGGTATAAGGAATGTTTAAAGGATTTTCCACACTGATCACATAGAAAGGGCTTCTCTCCAATGTGAGATTTTCTATGGTCCCTAAACTGAGATCTGACAAAAAGTTTTCCACAATCTTCACATAAAAACTTTCTAGCATGAGTTTTCATGTGTTCAGTAAGTACAAAAGGCCTGATGAAGGCTTTACCACATTCCGTACATTTATATGGTTTTGTTCCAGTGTGAATTCGATTGTGAATCTTAAGATATGAAGAACTTTTAAAGAATTTTCCACATTTTTCACATGGAAAAGGCCTCTCTTCACTATGAGATTTTATATGTTAAGTCTATAGGAAGTAAGGAAGGCTTTCCCACACTCCCTACATTTATGCACTTTTATTTCACTATGATTTTGCATGTGATCATTAAGGAATAAGGGATAAAAATAGGATTTTCCACTTTCCTTATATATAAAGGGCCTCTATCCAGTATGAGATTTTATATGGCTCCTAAGGTGATCAGCTCTAATGAAGGCTTTCCCACATTCCTTACATATAAAGGGCTTTTCTCCAGTATGAGATTTTTTATATTCCTCTTAAGTTCATAAGCTATAATGAAAGCTTTCCCACATTCCTTACATTTATAGGGTTTCTCTCTCCACTGTGGGCTCCCATGTGAATTTTAATGGATATGATATTTGTAGACTCTCCCACACTCCTTATATTCATAACTTTTTTTTGTGGTGTGATTTCGTACAGGTATACCATGCCTTGTGGAGTGAACAGAAGCTCTCCCATGTTCCTTCTGTTCACAGTGTTTTTCCCCATTCTCAGTTACTACTTGTGCCTGAAGAGAAGGCTGATTCACACAAGCTTCCTCACCATCACTGCATTCGAAGGCTTTCTCTCCCATGCAGGTTTTCCTGTCCACAATATTTGGAGTCAGGATGATGGCTTTTCCACAGTGATTAAACACAAAATGCTTCACAACCATAGAGGTTTTCTTCTGCAGAGTAAGGAAACTTTTTCCATACTCATTATGCTCATAAGTGTTGCCTCCATTTTGAGTTCTCCTGCCTGTCCTAAGGCTCAAGTGTTCATTGAAGTCTTCCTATATTGCTCACAGTTACAGAGTTTCCATCCATTGTGCATTCTTGCCTGTGGATGGATAGATGAATGATGATGCAAAGATTGCTCAGACTCATTAATTGATCCTACTCATCTCAAACTTGAAACATCATTACAACGATGAAGATGACTTTTACCATTTCTACTACATTCATACACCTCTGCCCTGTTGATTTCTTTCAAGTTGAATGATGGAATCCTTCTGCCAGAATGATATTCCATCTACTCCAACCTTCAAATAATCCTGTACAGCTTCATGGACTGTTGTAAAATCTCAAATGTCCTGTTACATATGTGGAAATGAGGACTTATGGGAACTCTGAAGCAATAAGTATCAAGCTGGGTTTAGGATATCCCCAAATTCAACCTATTCAGAGTATCTCACCATAGACATTGCTCTCCCCTGGTGACTGCCACCTATTGCAAACATCTATCACTTGTGCTCATGCTATAAATGAAATTCCCTTTCTTTTCTGAATGTGGAAAAAGAGAAATATGATGTTTTAAACTTACCAATGTTACTGTTTCCATCCCAACAGATGTTTCTCCCCCAAGATTATCCTGCTGAATTGCTGAGCCTTTGGTTTTAAGTTGCATTTCCCATAAAAAAATAATAAATGTAAGAGTTTGTAGAAAGAAACAGGAGGCTGAAGGAGTTAAAAATAATAATACTCGTTTGTATTGGCTTCCAAATTAAAGATGCTAAAAATATCAATACATACATACTAGATTTGAGGAGTTTGGCTATGCCAAATATTTAACAATGATAGGAATGCAGAGTCAAAATTCAGTACCTGATTAAAAAGAATTCTATGAAAATTAAATATGATGGGGAAAAAAACCTGAATATTATCAGTGAAGGAAAAGAGGAATGTTAGGAAAACTAGCCTACATCAAAATGATAAAGTTAAAAAAAGAAACAGAACAAGCCATTTCGGATAAAGATGTGGTACATATGTACAATAGCATATTACTCAGCTGTAAGAAAGAATGAAATAATGTCATTTGCAGTTACATGGATGGACCCAGAGATTATCATATTAAGTGAAGTAAGTCAGAGAAAGACAAATATCATATGATATCACTCATATGTGGAATCTGATTTAAAAAAATAATACAAATGAACTCATTTACAAAACAGAAACAGACTTAAAGATATGAAAAACAAACTTATGGTTACCAAAGGGGAAATGTGGGAGGGTGGGATACATAAGGAGCTTGGGATTAACATACACACACTACTATATATAAGATAGATAACAACGACCTAACGTATAGCACAGGGAACTCTACTAAGTATTCTGTAATAACCTATATGAGAAAAGAATCTGAAAAAGAATGAACATATATATATATATACATATATATAAAACTGAATCAGTTTGCTGTACACCTGAAACTAACATAACGTTGTAAATCAACTGTACTTCAATAAAATTATATTAAAATAAAGAAAGAACAAGCCATTTTGTGAGCTCATAAGAAATTGTGAGTAAATGTGAAGTATGTACGTATGACAACTTGAATATATCCTGAAACATCAGAGACCAGTGACCTCAGCCTTCTGTGAGAAAGCACATCTTTACAAGTTTCCTCATTATTATTCAAAAGACACTGAAATTTTCACTGATCAGGAATCACTCACCTTGGAGGACTCCTCTTCTTTCCACTGTCCTCAAATCATCTTCTTGTTCCAACCAAGAGATCAGAGTGGGTTTCAATGATTGATACCCTGTTTATGAGGAAAGATAAATTAATGAAAGAAGCTCCAGAAAAATAGAAGAAACTGTCCAATGAATCAGCTCCTATATGTCTAAAACTGTGGTAAAACTATTTTAGAAGAGATAAAACAGGAAATTCACCTCCTTCTGTTCTCCACAAAGACTGTTTCTCTCTGGCCCCTGAAGCCCACATTCAGATTGATATAAACAATTACAAAGCTTAAGACTTTTTTTGATACGGGAAACAATGTAAGTGCAAAAAAAGATGTTCATTCACATGGAGAAACCAATACACCAATGAGTGTCAAACGTTGGTGTCCATGAGAACCAAGTCCAGTGTCTGTCACAACACAGATGACTGGGTCCCAATGCCGCAGTTTCATTCAGTAGGTGAAAGGTGGAGTCTGAGAATGCACATTTCTAAGAGCGATGGTGATAATGCTAGTCCTAGAAGCACATTTTCAGATGCCAACCGAACTAAAACCCATTCATGTGAAGAACAGTGTCTGTTAGTTCCCATTATATTCATATGTAACATCACCCATGCTGCAACACAGTAAGTGCATCACATATATCTGTTCTCTAAGACGCTATAGGAATGATGGCAGCCTTACCTGCTGTGGTCAGGTTCTTGTAGTTCTCCAGCATCACATCTCTGTATAGTTTTCTCTGAATGGGGTCCAGTAAAGTCCATTCTTCCTGGGTGAAGTCCACAGCTACATCAGCGAAGGTCACTGAGTCCTAAACCATCACACACATACTAGCTTCAGTAAAGTAAGCCCTCCACCAATGGAAGGGACTGGAGACGGGTGACCCATGATTCAATGTCTCTCGTCATCTCCCCCAGGACACAATGGTCCTAGGTTCTCTTCTATCTACACTCACTCATGATTGATATCCTTCAGCTACAGCTCTAATGGAACATGTAATACATGAACTTATCTCAATAGAATGAGCCTTAAAGTGTTTTGTTTCTCTCCTGTAGCATAGTCCTAAGCCAACTGGAAGCACTTGTAAACGCTGATGAATGAATACATTCTTTGAGAAATGCACAGTCATCTTCCTTACTGTGTAAGAGCACCAAGCAAAACAAAATATATGCAGTCACCATCATGAGAGGCAAGATTAGGAGGTCATTACTGAAATACTGAGATTATTCAGGGTAATGTGTCACCAGTATGAGCTTCCACTTAGGGAGGGAATTCATCAGGGACTGAGTCCTGCAGTGGCTTTATTTCTTTAAGAAGCTCTGGACACAGGCCTACCAAAACAGAATGTGTCCATCTGGTGGATATAGTAGCCCATTTTTTAGGATAGACTTGCTTCTTACCCGAGAACAACTTCTCAAACGCTCAGCCATTATCCTTTCTGCCTCTATCTTTTCCTCAGGAAGGCGAAAGGGTCCTTAGAACACCTAGGAGAAAAGAAAGAAGGCATGAGTACCCAGAGATGATCATAATTCCCACAGTCACTGCCTGGAAGTCATTCAACTCTAGCTTGAAATTCCCAATTATCCTTTGCACACTCAAGAAATCTCACATATATACACACCACTGCTGTGAAATGCCAGAGTAGTCCTGTCGCACCTGGAGCCAGAAAAGGGGACGGTGAGCCATGCTGCCCATCAGGAAAAGAGTAATGGGTTCATTTTACAGGGAAGCAACCTTAAGACCTGAGTAATGTGACTCTTCATTTGTCAAGGCAATAAAATACATGAATAAGATTATGCAGCAGGGCTTCCCTGGTGGCGCAGTGGTTGAGAGTCCGCCTGCCGATGCGGGGGATGCGGGTTCGTGCCCCGGTCCGGGAGGATCCTGCATGCCACGGGGCGGCTGGGCCCGTGGGCCATGGCCGCTGGGCCTGCGCATCCGGAGCCTGTGCTCCGCAGCGGGAGAGGCTGCAGCGGTGAGGGGCCCGTGTACTGCAAAAACAACAACAACAAAAAAACAAAACCAAAAACCAAACAAAAAAAGATCATGCAGCAACTCTACCTAAATGCGCATACCAGAAAGCCGAGTTAGAGAACAGCATTATCTGGCTCCCTTCAGCAATTCCTAGATGAACCAGAAGCATGACTGCTCAGGCCCAGACCAAGACTGGCAGATCCTAAAGTAGAGTCTCTGAAAAAGGACATTAACAGGGACTTCACATGGGACATATAGCTGTCATGTTGCAATGACGGTGAAATTTGCCTGAAAATTCCTTTCTTTGATGTCAAGATCATGTCAGGCAGCTTATGAATACAAGTGGACAGGGACATCTCCATGCCCCTGGAGATCGGGTTATCTGGAGTCCTGCTTCATATCAATCATTAATCAACAAATATTAGTTATCTCACACACAACATCATAAATTCGCTCTTTCTATGTAGATAACATAGTTACTAAAAGAGTATGCTCTACAACAAGAATATCAGTAACATCAATTATTATTCATTGAGTACATTATGTACCAGATATCTCATTAGGAGCTTACAGCTTACCTATATGTTTGGAACAACTTGAATACTGGAATCAACTCTTTCAACTGTAAATTATGTATGCTCTAAGCAGAAATTAAGTATATATGATAAAAATTTAGTGTCCAGTAAATTAATTATATATGATAAAAATTTAGTGTCCAGTAAATTTAAAACACTTCAAATGAAAAAAATGTAAAATATCTAAATTTTTAAATTGTTTAAGTAATATTTTAATATATATGGGATAAAATAAAATATATTCATATAAATAATCTTCATTTTTGTTTATTGTGGATACTGAAAATAGTTTCATTATATACGTGATCTATACATTATATTTATATTGGAAAAGCACTGGTGTAGGCTGCTGCTGGGCTTATGAAGGGAAAAAAAAAAACATTCTATTCGGTCAACATCCTTGAGCTTCTCTTGATGGATGTTGGAGAATTTTGAAGCTCTAGGCCTCCTTTAGTTCTTATCACTGGATTATTCCTTTCTTTCAATGACCTTGTGCTAGGCAATCAGTTGAGAGCAGTAACATATACAGAAAATATTCTAGGCATTAAATATCCACCATTCTTATTACGGAAGATAGACAATAAACTAATAATTGATATATCAATTCATTAGTAACATGGGAAAACAATCAAGCAGGTAAAAAAAATAAAGGGTATCCGACACATGCACACACACACACACACATATATTATTAGTTCCCAGGCCAGATAAAGAAAGAAAGGGGAAATCATTAGGTCTTCCACACTTGGTCCAAAAAGATTAGAAAAAAAATTATCAAACTTTTTACAAAAGAATTCAGAATACATGAAAGTACTGGGAAGCCTCCATGGGTCTCCATTTGGAAACACTCAAATCAAACAGGTCTGTACTCTCTCCTTGCCTTGGACATGGAGCAAGGCCCTGTCATACTTGGCCCAACATTTGTCTATTTTATGAATCTTTTCAGACAATCACCTTTTCATATTATTTTTCAGTTCCTTTTTTATGGAACTGAAAATTTTGCTTTTATGTTTACTTACTTCTTCCACAGACTTTCTTCATGCTTCTTGTCTTTTAACATTCTGTATTTAAAAGTTAACTTCTTTTTGTTATATATCAATAACCTTTAATATATCAAACACAGACCACCAGGCCAAATGCTGGTCTACAAAACTGTATACAAATGATGACAATGAAAGTTCCACAGTTCATTACCTATGAACCATATTCATCCTCACTGTCCCCACAGTCCTTATTCTTCAGTAGAGAAGACTAAAACCCATACATACATGAGGTCAAAAAAAATCATGTGTCTAGACTCCCTTATAACTGTACTTACTACTAGGGGTCTCAAACCAGGAGTCCTTAGGCTGAGTAAGTTTAGTGAGGGGGTACTTGATAAAATGTTTTATTTTTCTGTTTATTTTTTAGTTGGATATAATTAATGTCTAATGAAATACACAGATCTTAAGTATTTAGTGGATGAATTTTGATAATTGCATATACTTGTATAATCACCAGCCTAAACAAGAAACAGAATATATTTATTTCCCTGGAAAGCCTTCTTGTCCCTTTCCATCCATTCCTTACTTCTTGCGCTCAGACAAGCACTTTCTGATTTCACTGTTACTAGATACATTATGCTATATATGTATATTAGGCAATTAATACAGCATTTTCAAATGTGGGTCCTAACTGATTTTTCGTGTACTGTTTAGTGAAACTATGGGCAAAATACATTAAAATCTCCCACTAGAATTTTGAAATTGTTTATTTCTTCTTCCACTTCTTTCAAGTAATGCTTTATATATTTGCAACAATATTATTGAGTGGATAAACATTTGATTTTTTATATTTTTGGAGAAACAGATTTGTTTATCATGACCTCTGTATCTGTAGTAATGCTTCTTGACAACGTTGTCTGACATAAGGATCAGCTTTTGGGGGGAGAGTTTCTTTTTTTGGCATATCATTGGTAGCACTGTATCTGTTTTGGATGCCAGTGTCTGCCAGTACAAAGAGTGGCACGGTGTCTGGCACACCAAAGGCACCCACTAACTTGTGACTGACAGAGTGGAGCTCCTTCACATCACTCTTCAAGTACACCTAAGTTATACCTAAATAACTGTTCATAATACAACATATATCTGTTTTCATAAATGTATTTGATTACTCTAAGAATGTAAGGGTGGGAGGAACACCATCTTCTTTCAAGCACTCACACCAGCGTCGGCTTATCTGCACACCTGTCACTTGTTTCCCAAAGCCTCCTTATATGGACACTTAGTGCTCTAGGTCCTGCACTGGCAGTGGCACCCCAATTCCCTCTCCACATCTACATACTGGTCATGGCTTGCCTGCATACCAGAGGGGAGCTTCATCCTTGCCCAGTGACTGTTAACTAGTTCTGGCCCTGGCAACCTAGCAAATTTCCTCACATTCAATGGGTTGCCATGATACCTTCTCTAACAAGGTCTGAAATCAATCTTGGGGAGAGGCCCCCACTATAAGTTTGGCCTTCCTTAGGTATTCTCCATGAACTCTAGGATATATGACAGAATTCTCTTTACAATTTTATACTTTACTTCTCCTGTTTAAATCAAAGTATAATTTCTGTCTCTTCATTTCATGCAGACTTATACACAATAGTGAAGACAGGTGATCCCTGGAGACAAAGTAGTAAAGATGACATTTTGGGATATGTTTGGTCAAACCTTTGGACTCAAGCATAGAGCTAAAAGCCTTGCCAATGGGAAAGACATTCATAGAATTACAACTGTCAAGCAATCACCTATGATGATTACGGTACAGCTCTTGCCTTGGGAGACCAGGTGAATGCTACACTTAACGGTACAACAATAATGGTGATTATAATGGTTGTGGTGAGAGATGGATTCTTTTGAGTGTAGTTGCCCAGACAATGACAAGCTCAGATCTACAATCTCAAGTCAAAGTCTGAAACCAGAGAGATTCCATGACAGGTTAAAAACTCATTTCATGTGGTCACATGGGGAAGATATTGCAAAAATCAAATGCAGAGTTCAAGTATTCAACCATACTTAAAGTCAGTCTCACATACTTTTTCATGTGAAAATGAGGCACTGATCAGGGAAGAATGAGACAGGAAACTTGAAATAGGGATATCTACGGGGACCCTGATGACACTTACAATATTGAACCCCCAAGACACTCTGAGCCTCCCTTATCAGGGAAGTAGCTTGCTCTTAGGTTTCTGAAGATACTGGCCTTCCTCTGCTTGACAAATGTGTGATAATCTCACTTAGAGCAGATGCCTTGGAAGGAATCCTCATTCTCGAGACCCACCACAATTACCTGCCGTTGCCTCTGGACACACAACTAGTGCAAAATCCAAGGGGACAGGACAGTATGCAACATAAGGTAGGAGAAAACAGCTTACATACAAAATAAGCCCAACTCTGCAAATATGTATCAAAAGAGTTTGGTGAACATGTAAACTCCTAGGAGTTCCTAAGGGATTAAGCTCAGGCAATTCCAGTGAATTCAAGTAAATTGTATGGTAGGCTGCCAAGGCTCTTTCAACACCTAAGTGCAGTTGCCCCACCTCCTCTTCCTCAGTCTATGTCTATGGCTTCCTGTGGTATTCCTTACACCCAGCTGGCTGAGACAAAACTTGGTTTATAGATGGGTTTGCATAGTAAGCTAGTTACACCTGGAAGTTTAGACCTGAAGCTCTATATCCTTACTGAAGGGATGACCCTGAAAGGCAGTAGTAATTAAAAATCTTCCCAGTGGCAGAAATTCAAGCAGTATATTTGGCTGTCGCTAGGTCTGGAGTGAAAAACAGCCACATGTATGGATACACATTGCTTCACAAACAGTTGTCAATCATTTGACTGGAGAGTCAAAGACGTGAATGGAACAAGATTGGAAGGTTGATGACAAGAAAAGTAGTCTGGGAAAAGTATATGAAAGGA